GTTTGTAAGTTTACGCCAGCGCACCTAGCGGAAGTGAACTGAATCGTGCATGTTTTCCAGGAAGATTTTCCAATAGATTTTCGAAATATGTTTTTTTTTAACATTAAACCCAATAAATAACAAAAAGCAAACTGTTGGAATCGAACCTGATGCGTAGGAATAAATCACGAAAAATTTCAGCCGGATTCGTGCACGCGCCTATAAGTTATGCAGGAACAAACAGAACGACACTACTCAAATTATTATATAGATAGCTAGAGAGAGAGATGTAGATTACAGCTAGAGGTGGTGTCATGTGTCTATATTATAACTAGAAAGATATGTAGGTAATAGCTAGAGAGGTGTATGAATGATAGCTAGAGATAGTGTCATGTGTTTAGTTTGAGTTATACCTTGTTTGCAGCATGTTTGTTACTGCCAGAAGGAGGCAGACTGAGAGAGAGAGAGCTAGTCTTATATGTTTAAGCTATTCCGTACTTTCTAGGACGTTTGTTATGAGGAGAAGGAACCAGACTTTGTTGCGTACGCGTTCTTCAAGACCAAAGTCGGCCTGCGCAACGCTCTGCAGGACGAAATGATGTCCAACCAATCGGAGGACAAGGAGGCGGTGCTAATCACGCTCACCCGACCAATCATATACGCGCAGCCGATCGCCACCGACAAGGCAATTCTCGTGTGGCTCAACTTCAAGAATGCGTACGATTACTGGAACCAGGAGCGGCAGGCCCTAAATAAAGAGGTACAGAAACACGCAACCCCCCTAGTATTTAATTCGTTAATCACAAATGATGCTTGGCAGGCTACCGTTGGCTTAATGTCGGCGCAACGTTGGTTTGATAGTAACAAGTGATGGGAGAAATTAGTTAACTTGCTCTTGCAATAGTAGGCCTACTACATATACTAGTACGATATATACTGACCTTCAACAGCCAGAGGTCAACCACAGTGTTCTGGGTGCTCCAACCAGCAGGGCTCATTGTTGTCGCCATGGTTACAGGTGCAGACGGCGACGCAGCAGCTGATAGAGATGCTGCCTCCGATCTGGGAGCCGCCGCCGACCAACCAAGCGGTCGGTACCCTGTTCATCCAGGTCACCCTGCAGGACATGGGCATCTGTCTGCCCCTCACCAGCTCCAACCAGGTAGGCTGGAGTGTCAGGGTGACCATCAGATGCATGAGTCTATTGTTACTCCTTCCACTACGCTCAACATTCTACTTCTCACACTAGCTACAAGAGTATGTCATATGATAAAGAAACATGAAAACCGATAAAAATATCAAATAGTTCAATGTGCATTTTTTCACCTTCCAGCTTTCTTAAACTCTCTTATGTCTTGTTAATTGTCTTTCATCTGTCATTGTCATGTCTGTCGTTTTACCTAACTTTCGTACTATCTTTCCTTCTATGTGCCTCTCTATCAATTTATACACTACCCATGTACTTTATTGAGGTTTATTCTCATTCCTCCCAGCCCCCAAGCATCAACACACTTTGCATAGTATGCCACACACACACGCACGCGCACACGCACACGCACACGTACAGACACACACACACGCACGCACACATGCACACGTACAGACACACACACACACACGCACGCGCGCGCACACGCACACGTACACGTACAGACACACACACACTGCATACCTGTGTACCGTACACGCCCTGTAGATCTGTCGTTATTTGCAGGGCATCTACCAGGGTGGGAGCCGGCGGGTGGAGTGGGACCCGACATCAGCCATGGTGCTGACTCTGGAGAGTTCTCGCATATCCGCCTGCAGTCGCACCTCCCTCGTCAGCAAAGGCAAATTTAAAGGTGGGCGTGCGAGCACCCTGATAGTCCGCTGTTATCTAACCATTGCCGTTAGTCTAAACTTTAACTTTTTGTAGTCAATCTGACCTCTATACACTGCTTATGAGAATCTCCTAACTTTACTGAACTCCTAAAAACCTCCTAAACTCCTACTACTTAACCTTACTCCCAACTAAACTCCTAACCCTACTTATCTTTCTGTCAAAGGTCTAGCAAACTCAATATTAAGACTAATGTTGATAAGACTTTTGTTTCCGATGGTGGTCCTCTCAGGTTTCTGTCTGAGGTTTGCGGATGACTTTGAGGTGACGTGGGACGACTGGAAGCCCGACCCTAACGAGGTGCACATGAACCTGTGTGTCGTGCCCGAGGGAACTTACGAGGTCTGCTCCAAGACCGTGCAGTCCGACCCTAAAGGTAGGTCACTCACGCCGCGCTACCCCCGCTGAACTCACGCAGAATATCAAATCAAAGGAATCCAGCGATAGAATTTATTTAGAAATGTATGGGAGGGTAGTAGGGATAAATGCTTATTCAGTATTCGTTTTCAGTGGTTTCCTATTTGTTATTCACCATGTTTCCACATGTTTATGCATTTTATCCTCTTGATTTATCTCTAACAGGGGTTAAAACTTAAAAGATACATGTACAACGACTATATAAATATTTGCTCTCTAATTATTTCAAATATAATAATAATGTTAATAATAAATAATAATAATTGCAATAATAATAATAATAATATCGATAATAGTGATAATAGTAATATTAACGATGATAATGAAGGTTGTAGTAGTAATCACCCCCACCTCCGTCCACATCTAGATGCCGCTAGCAATGCTAAGTGGATCCTCAGCCTACACTGGCAGATGCAGGGTATCGACGTGCAGCTGGACACAAACATCGGCCGCTGTCTCGCTCTTCTCACGAAGACCATGACGATGATGGCGGCCGGCGATGACGACGCGGACAACATGGCCGCCGACGCTGACATCCTGTCCATGACGAGCGACGACTCGGACATGGAGCCAGCACCGGTGAGGTCATAGCTTACACGCTGTCACTAATATCAGACATGGAGCCGGCACCGGTGAGATTTATTCTATGAGACCTTGAGACCCGAATGACAAAAATGCATGAATAACATGTGCCACTGATTGAAAGGCAGCTGTAGGCAATCAGCATTGCAATAAAACGTTCTAAAAACAATACTTATTAATCAGGTGCCTTAAATCTGACGATTTGGCATGCCTTAGTAAGTGGGGCCTTAGTTAGTGGGGCCTTAGTTAGTGGGGCCTTAGTTTGACACACTGATCTAGAAACATTATCCAAGGAGGACATTGTGCATTCACTCATACAGATGAGTCTATTACAGTGTATTAGGGTTCTGCACTATATTAACGGTCTGTAGGTTTTTACGATCATGTGCTTTGGCGTAATAACGGTACGCGGTTCAACAGGCCCCGATGATGCGGCGTCAGACTATGCGGTCGGACGCGCCCCCGCCTGCAGCAGACGACGGCAAGGTAGATGGGCGCCGCTCCTGTCTGGAGGAGCTGGAGGAGGTCAATCAGCAAGCACAGTTCCTCAACTACCTCGTGCAGCACGGAGCGAGGTGAGTATCGCTTACTGCATCCACCGACGTAATTTGTCGCATAATTTACATCGTCTGCCACATATGCATTCTTTGTCATTTTCAGCGTGTCTCAAAGAATTACAACTCTTAGAAATAATAAGGGGAGACTATACATACTAAAATCTTATCCAAAAACTTTTTTTAAAAGAACACTCGGTGAACCATTCACAATTGTGGAAAATCGTCGTCTGTTTCGATTTTTGTTACAGCAAAAAAAATCTTGCAACTAAATTTCCCGCATTCATGATAAAAAAAAGGAAAAAAATCCCCCAAAAATTTTTCTCGAGCGCCCGCCGCCGCTGCTCTTGTGTTTTATCAGAGAGAACACGATCGAGGAAACAAGCGCGCGTGCTGCAGGAGCAGGAGGCCGTCGTCTCGGCAGCACTTCCTCCGCCGCGACATCCTCAACCGCATTCGCCGCCAGAGCGCCCGCGCCATGTCCATCAAGGACAAGAATACAAGACAACAGGCACACCACAAGGGGAGGGGCCACCACTACCGGCGAACGCCAACAGTCCCCCATTCGCCGAGGCTTACGTCGAGCAGTCCGCGCCTCCACACCACCAAGTTTCAGCGGTGAGTGGCCGCAGTCGCGTCGGTTACCGCGACGACGGTTTGACGTGTGCGTATAAAGAGAGATATGAGAAGATTATTACGTGCAATATGCGTATAGAATGTAGAATGTTAGTAGAATGTATCATGTGGAGGTTAAGATATTGCATACAATATTATATGTTGAGCTTACACTGTTGCTTTCAACGTTGCATACAACGTCACACGTCGAGCGTTAGTGTAGAATATTACGATTACAAATTTACATTTCATGTTGATGTAACGATATCGCATGCAATATTACAATGTCGAGCTTACAGTATTGCATACAACGTCATGTCGAGCGTTAGTGTAGTATATAACGATTACGAATTCACATTACAATTCGATGTAATGATATCGCATACAACATTACATACAACATTACATACGTTGAGTGTTAGTGTGAGTGATGCTGCAAGCACAGCTGTGTGAGGAGGGAGTGCGGACCTTACAGTGTAAATCAATGTAGAGCTTTAGCAGTGTTAGTGGAGTGAGGCTGCTAGCTAACAGGTTGTTCCTGCAGCAAAGCTGTGTGAGGAGGCGAGTGCCGGAGGACCTTACAGTGTAAATAATGTAGAGCTTACAGTGTTAGTGTGAGTGAGGCTGCTAGCGTTGTTCCTGCAGCAAGCTGTGTGAGGAGGGAGTGCCGGACCTTACAGTGTAAATAATGTAGAGCTTACAGTGTTAGTGTGAGTGAGGCTGCTAGCGTTGTTTACGTGTTTGTGTGAGTGAATGCTGCTAGCGTTGTTCAGTGTTAGTGTTGAGTGATGCTGCTGAGCGTTGTTACAGTGTTAGTCGTGAGTGATGCTGCTAGCGTTTGGTTTACAGTGTTAGTGATGAGTGATGGCTGCTAGGCACGGGTTACAGTGTTAGTGTGAGTGATGCTGCTAGCACTGTTACAGTGTTAGTGGTGAGTGATGCTGCTAGCATTGTTATCAGTTTTTTGTGTGAGTGAGCTGGGGCTAGCGTTGTTCCTCCCCTGCTGCAGGATAGCTGTGTGAGGAGGGAGCGCCGCGGACCTGTACCGGTGCAGGATGAGAACTGTGTTCGCTCGCAGCGTATCCAGGCGACCGCACTCCGTAGACGTGCCGATCCTCACGCGTGAAAGCTCCGGCGACGCGGACGGCGTGAAGTGAGCACGCGACACACACATTCGTATGGACGGATGGGGGGCATGCGCGCGGCGGGAACGGACGGGGGCATGCGCGCGGGACGGGGACGGATCGGGGGGCATGCGCGCGGCGTGGTGTAAGCATTGGTCGTGTAGTCCGCGGGTTTTATGGTGCGTGAAGTGGGCCACAAAGCAGTGAAGCCTGTGGTCTGATTTTGCAGCAAAGTGTCGTGTGTGACGCTTGTACTGAGTATGCAAGGGTCGTGTGAGAGGCTATAGGTAGGCAGCATGGTCATCAGCAGCAGCAGCATGGGAATCCCATAGCAGCAGTGAGATGGCGTGGAAATAGTGTTTCTAGCTACCTGTGAGCACATCCATTAGAATTGCACAACTATGTAACACAGGGGCTGTATAGATACACTATCCATCCAAATCATTTCATATATTATATATGATATATATATATATCATATACTATATATATATATATCCTCCTGATTATAAATATATATAGTGGTGTAATATATATGCTTGTGTGTATATATATATATATAGTATATATATATGATTCCTATATAATATATATATATATATATATATATGTGTAATATATGGTATAGTATGTTATATATATGATGTGTGTTATATATTATATATATATATAGTCAGGAGATATATATATATATATATATATATATACTATGCTATCGCCACAGTGCATAGTGGGAACGGAGCAGTGACGGTTGCCGTGGGTTACAGCGGGCCATCGATGCAAACGCTGCCGCCGGATTCAGTGTTTGCGGAAGAGGTTGAGGAGTCACCGTCGCCGTCGACGATGCCGCATCCGGCAGCAGAGATACGCGATGGCTACCTCGCGTCGGAGGATGAGGATGCGGGAGCAGACGATCAACGCTCGTCGCAGCATGCTGCCACCAGGTGTCAGCACGGGTCATGCCACGGCTTATCCGCGCGAAATGAGAATGCGTTGTTATTCTTGGGCGTGGGTGTATCAATAACCGAAACCCTGACCCTAACCTTAACCCTAACCCACTCTAACGAGAGTCAATTTAAATTTGCTTTCGTAAGTGTGTGATTGCATATTTTCTATTAGTGTTTCTTTCATGTGTGTATGTCTCTGTATGTGTGCGTGCGTGCGTGTGCTCGTGCGTGCGTGTGCGCGTGCGTGCGTGAGTGCGTGCGTATGTATGTGCATGTGTGCATGCGTGCGTGTGTGTGAGCGTGCTCGCATGTGGCGTGTACTCGTGTTAACTGTCCACTTGTTAATATCCCCAGACAATCCAGCAGCGCGGGGCGGGCGTTGCGGGGCGCCGCAGTAGCGCCACCTACAGCTGCAGCGTCCGCGAAGCCGTCGCTTATCCCGGAGCCGAGCATCGACTTTGAGATGGAGGTGAAGGTCGTGGTGGACAGCGGCAAGTGTGTGCTGCACACGCGCGACAGCCACGATGAGGACATCACGAAGAGGTAAGCATGGAGGGAGGNTGTTACTAATATCAGACATGGAGCCGGCACCGGTGAGGTCATAGCTTACACGCTGTCACTAATATCAGACATGGAGCCGGCACCGGTGAGGTCATAGCTTACGGGCTGTCACTACTATCAGACATGGAGCCGGCGCCGGTGAGGTCATAGCTTACGGGCTGTCACTAATATCAGACATGGAGCCAGCGCCGGTGAGGTCATAGCTTACACGCTGTCACTAATATCAGACATGGAGCCGGCACCGGTGAGGTCATAGCTTACACGCTGTCACTAATATCAGACATGGAGCCAGCGCCGGTGAGGTCATAGCTTACGCGCTGTCACTAATATCAGACATGGAGCCGGCACCAGTGAGGTCATAGCTTACGCGCTGTCACTAATATCAGACATGGAGCCGGCACCAGTGAGGTCATA